CTCTCTGCAATGTGGTAAACCATTTGCTGTGTTCTTAGAGGTCCAAAAGAAAGTATGAAGCATAGTCCACGCATCTATGAAGTTGCCAATCCATTCAGCAAGATGAAATACATGTTGAGAAAAAGTTATTTCAGTATTGCTTTACGTTAGTTTATAATAATATTTCATAAGTGAAAAAATGAGTTTTTGCACCAATTCAAGTGATAGGCAGGCTCTATTGTGGAAGATTTCACAGAGGGAGAGATTTTTCATGGGTGGATGGGTTGGGTGGTTTGAGAAGAAGGCAGAGAAACCATTCGGTGGGGGAAAATAACATGGATAAAGTGGATAAGGCCTGATGTGTGTGTTGTGCTTGATTTGAATGGAACATTTGCCTAGAGATGGCTGAGACAGAAAATGAACTGGTTGAGAGAATGTATCAGATTATATGAGACCTCGAAGGCTACTAGACTCAGTACCAAAGAAGGGCTTGCATCTTAGTGAAAATAGTGTTTTAGGAAATGAAATTAAAGACACTTTTGTTTTCTAGCTGTGAGCGGAAAGGACTTAGAATAACTTAGTTGTAGCAGAAAAATGGAGATGTCCTTCCCCTTAATGAATTTGGGATATAATGATCAGGATTTATCAGGTGACTGGAAATAAAGAGAGGAGGAGGTGGAGAAGCAAAACTGAATTAGAAAAAAAAGCAGAGCTGGGAGACTGAAGGGCGGATTGGGCACGTGAAGCAGGTTGTGCGGGAACTGGCCAGAGGTGCTCTCCAGAGGAGGCCGAGAAAAACAAGGCTGTGAAATAATGAAGTGCTTGTATTTTTCCACTTGAGGAGTTAGAAAAATACAAGGAATTGAAAAACAAACAAACATAAGTTAATCAAGTAGAAAACAAACATTTTACAGGAAAGATCCATGAAGCCAAAATTTGGTCTTAGAAAATATTAATATAATTAATAAGTATGATGCAGTAATGGTGCAGATATGTCATTATACATTAAAAGAGTGAACCCTAATGTAAATTATGAACTTTAAAAATGAATAATAATGTATCATTGTTGGTTCATTAATTGTAACGTACCACAATCCACACTAATACAAGATGTAAATCATGGGAAATTGTGTGTGTGTGCACACTCACACCAGGGAGGAGAGGATATTTGGGAACTTATGTATGTTCCAGTCAGCTTTTCTGTAAACTTAAGATTGCGCCAAAAAGATAGTCTGTTAATTTAAAAAAATTATTAGCAATTTAGACAATTTATGATTATCTTATAATTGCAAGTAATGTCTAGCAAAATTAACCAAGAAGAAAAGAAGGGAGGAAGAAATAAGTGACAGTAAGGAAAGAAAAATGCTACAGAGATTAAAAACGTAATAATGGGACTAATGAACAACTTAATGGCAATAAGCTTAAAAATGAGAAATGAAAGAATGTCTAGAAAACCATAACTTTGCAAAACAGTCAGGATTTGAATAAATCTGCAGTCATTAAGGAAAATGAGTTGGTTGGCAAAAATCTTTCCACCAGTAAAAAATCCAAATGGTTTAACTGTCTATTTCTACCAACATCCAAGGAACAAATCATTTCAGTCCTTCTTGAACCATTCCCAAGAATTTGGGGGATGGGGAAGGGAATAGGCCACAAATCACAAAAACAGCCTAACCATGATTCCAGATTCTGTTAGGGATAATACAAGACAGGAAAACTACATGACTACCTTAGGATCATAGATATAACAATTAAAATTACTTACAAACCAAATCTGGAATTGTATAAAAAACTAGTTATTCATATCCCAAAGAATTCAAAATTGGTTTGACATGTAATTTCCATATATTAACTCATTAAAGGAAGTCAGTCATCATTTCAGTCAATATAAAAGATATTCAGCAAGATTAAACATCCTTTATAATAAAATCTCTTAGCAAAGTAGGTTTAGAACAGAATTCCCATCATCTGATATGGAGTATTTACCAAAAAAACCTATAGTGAAGATTGAGCTTAGTGATGAAGTGGTGAAACTTTTCCATTTTTATTCAGGAAAAAGGCAAGAGCAGCTGTCACGCCCTTCCCATTGTCTCGTAGCTTCTGTTTCACATTGCAGGGAAGCTCTAGCTGCTGAAGAAAAAAAGACAAGAAAAAGTAAAATAAGAGTTTTGGAAAGGAAGAAACAACTCCATTATTAATAAATGATATGACTAGAAAATTCAGAGTACACAAATTGCTAGGATATTAATAAGAATTTAGCAGGTTTCAGGATACACAAATCATTGAAGGGAGAGTCTGTACATGAGCAATAAGTGGAAAATTTAATTTAAAAAATACCACTTACATAGCATAAAAAATATACCTGTGACATGTTGGAGAAAACTTAAGTAAATGGAGAGATATCCATGTGCATGGATCAGCAGACTCAGTATTTTTAAAATGACATTTTTCATGTTAATCAGTAGAATTGACAGTTCCAGTAAAAATTCCAACCAGTTTTTTATTTGAACTTGATATGCAGATTCTAAAGTCCATATAGAAGGACAAAGGGTCAGTAATAGCTAAGACATGTCTAAAGAAACACAGGTGGAATACATCTTACCAGCCAGCAGGACAGTCTGTTGTGACTAGCGGTTTGCAGTCAGCTGAGGTATAAAACGGACCAGGGGTCCCTGATAGCAGCCTAGAAACAGAGCTAGTTAATCACAGAGCTGGCGGGAAAAGATGAACCTCTCAACACATGGTCCTCAGACAATTGGTCATCCTTATGGGGAAAAAAAGAAAATTGCACCTCTCCTTAACACACCCAAAAATCATTTGTATATAGTTAAAATACTTATATGTGAAATGCAAGACTATAAGACGTTTAGAAAATAATAAAATATAATACTTTTATGACCTTGAAGGAAGATTTCTTATATAAGACCAAAAAAAGTACATACCATTATGTAAAAATTTGATTAACTCATCTACACTAAAACTAAGAATATCTTTTATCAGAAGATGCCATAAAGTGAAAAGACAAGCCTGGTAACTGGGGGAAGAATGTTAATAGTACATGTAATTGACAAAGCTCTAGTATTCAGAGACCTAAGGAACTCCTATGCCAGACAAAATAAGCCTTTAATACAACAAATAAAGAGATGGACAAAAATCTTGAAAAAGAAACTCACAGAAGAGGAATGCCAAGAAACTATTGTAATAAGCTATTATAAAAGGATACCCAATAATGATTGGAGAAATGGAATTAAAACCACAAAACATGATTTTAAAAAAACCCAACAATATTAAGTGTTGCAGAGGTGGAACGACAGAAGCACCATCCCAGTGGTCCGAGTGTGGAACAGGCCAATAGGAAACAATTTGGAAACACCCAATAAAGTTGAAGAAGTGCACATATAACTCAGGCGCTCCACTTCAGGCAGTGTGCCGGGAGAGTAACACCCTGCTGTTTACACCAGCTAGGTTTTAAGTTACAGAAAGCTGGAGAAAACTGGAGTCGGTCGGCCTGGCCTCACTAACAGTGGAGTCTAAGGTGTGGTGGGTGTGTGTACTGGAATCCTAGGAATGAAAACTAGTGAGTTACAACTATGTCCATCAATACAGGAGAATCTCGGGACTATTGAACCAAGTGATGGAGCATCTGTGTAGTAGGTTTCCATTTGTATAAGGCCTAACACTTGCAACTCTGAATGATGTATTGCTTAGTGATACACTCATTTTTAAAAACTTACAAAGAAAACAAGTTAATGAACAAGATGAAATTCAGGATAATGGTTACTCCTGAGCCAGAGACACATGGCCCTTCAAGAGTAATAGGAACCTTTTATTTTCTTTCTTAAATAGGAGCGTGTGTACCAAGGTGTTCATGGTGTTGTTGCTCTTTATGCCGTGTACATGTTTTGTCTCAACTGAGTGCTTAAAAATATGCCCATGTAGAAGAACTACAAGGGTCTGAGACTTCTTAGAGAAAGGCCTGTCTGAGAGGGGAGGGAAGCGGCACCGGGATCTAAGGAGGGAGCAGAGGAGCTGGCTCCTGGCTCCTGGAAGCCTTGCATGCCTGCGCAGGACCACAGGTGTACCCTCAGCTCATGGGGTGCGTCTGCCCCTTGCCGCACCGAAATCAGGAAGTGAGGATTGAGAAGTATGACTGTGTTCGGCTAGACATCACTGGTAGCTTAGGAATTGGGTTTTGCCAGAGCTGTGGGAACAAAAGCCTTTCTGAAAATTAAGGAATCCATGTGGAATGAATATATGTGGCAATCTCACATCACTAAGTTATTCTAAGTTTCTTTTGAGTGAAAGAAATGAGTAAATGTGAAGGTTAAGAATTTTTCAGAAGTTTGACGGTGGAAAGAAATGAGGCAGGGCAGGGAAAAGATGATTCTGAAGAAGGAGGAGGAAGTCAGTGAGGGGCTTAGCGGGGCCTGTTTCTGCAGGTGGGCACGAAGCCACCCAGTGCGGACCCGCCGCAGAGCCTGCAGAGCAGGGGTGGGCCCTGGTTTCGTAGGGTGAGTGCCTTATGAGAGCCATCAGCCAAATGGTGATGTTAAATGGATCTTCTGTACTTTTCTTTTTTAAAAACGTGAGTTTAAAATTTGCTACTTGGGGAAAAGGAACAGAGGCTCCTCATGCCACTGGAGACCTTCTTCACCCCCTGCCTGACCTGTCCAGCAGCTGTGCGTAGGTAGAGGATGGCTGTTCTTGCACAGAAGAGATTCCTCCACTGCCGCCTCTTAGGTGTTCCTCATGGGCTACTGGGCATCCCTGTGAAACTTGAAGGAGAGCTCTGGGGAGAGTGTGAGGCATTGGGTGCATTTGGAAAATGATGACTTCTTTCAGATGGTCTTGTATTCACCGCACAGCTTCCCTTCTCCAGCCCCTCTGCCCAAAACACAATGCAAAAAGCTTTTTAGCTTAAAATGTGAGTACTTAAAGTCCACACCTGTCCATTTTAATGTTGAATTCCTTGGGAAATAAGGGTGCACTTGTTGCATTTTTGGAGCTAAGATACATGGACAGCAGATAAAATGAACAGATACGAGGGATCACTGTGAAATCCAGTGCCATTTCCCTGCACTATACCAACAGTGAGTCAGTGGACGTTTTAGAGAAAAACAATATTGTATCTTCCATAGCCTCTCTCTCTCCCTGAATTAATTGCATGCCTAAGTTTCTTTACTTTGTATTCCATGAATTTCGTTCTGGCCTCCAAGTGCTCTACTGTCAGTCAGGCTGTCCAGGCTCGGATGTGGATGGGGGCCTCTGGCTGGCTGGCCGCACGGGAGCGGCAGTCTCGCTGCCCACCTCCACCCCGGAGATTCAGAGGAAGGTCAGGACTCCCGGGAGCCTGCGGGCGCAGCCCGTGTGTCCCAGTTCCTGGCCACGTCCTCCTGGTCTGTGACTTGTATTGAATTTAGAGTCTTGTTTACCTAAGTGTGGGCTGCATGGTCCCTACAGCTTGTTTCCCCAAATCAGGTTGTCATTTTGACAGTAACACCTCTAGAAATTTATCTTGACAGGAATAGTTCAGTCAGAATGTGAGATACACATTCATTGATAATTCACCGAAAAGTTTGTATTAGTGGAAAAGCAAGTGCCAACCTTAATGTCTTGTCTTTGAAAATAGTTAAGTAAACATATATCCATGCTGTTCAAACTCTTTTCTCTATATGTAATATAGAGAAAATATGTGAAGAGACAAAAACCCAGTTGCAAAATAAGTACTTGTAAGATATGAATGTGTTTAGGTTATAAAAATATGTATGTAGATAAAGATGTCTGGAAAGGTACATACCAAAATCTAAGATTAGCTATCTGCAGGAAATGGATTATGTGAAATGTACATTTTTAAGAGTATTTATTTTTGTATTGTTTGGAAATTTTACACAAAAGTATTTTCATAATTAGAAAACAATAATAAAGATGAATTTCATTTCAGTAATGGACTGACCTGTGGTTCATCCTCCGCTGTGGTGTATCTCTGGCACTGACACCAAGTGACATACTGTATGGGGCAAGACTGCCCCCTTGAGGTCAGTCCTAAAAATAGTTCTGTACCAGAGCAGTTCTGAAGCTCAGAGGTACATGAATTCCCAGTGTTTAATATTTAAAGTGACGCCTCATTTTTTTAATACTACATCTCACATTTTAAAGGGTATGTCCTCATTCTGTGATCCAGAGAGTGGGTCAATGGCCAGTTTATTTCTTACTTTTCTTTATTTTTGTAGATTTCAAGAGCTTCGTGGCTTCCATTTTCCGCACATGTATTAGTCTGTTTTCAGTTCAGTTGAATATTCCCCAAAGGTCAGTTTTAGTTACTCTCCCTGGACGTTGTCTCCAGTTCTCCTGCCCCCTTTTCTAAACATTTTATAAGGTTTACTTAATGCTGTATACTCCCATAAAACTCCTAAGTTGACTTTTGTCTTTCTGATATAGTTTTGTAGGGGAATGGGTATAGGACCCTGAGAATTGAATGGTCAAGTCTATGTTTGTTGAACTCATGACCTGTTTCCTACCTACCCCTCTTTGTGCCCCTCCCACAAAGATACCATACATTAATCTGGTCATTTCAAGAGTTAGGAAATACTCCCAACAATACACATTCTATAAAAAGGCCTAAGAGGTTGTAATATCTTGGAGTCCAGTAGCCTAGAATGCAGATAGAGATGAGAGAAATGTATTCAAATAGGCTGAGGAGTCTGACGTTTGTGGACTCGCCAGTCTCAGGCTGTCCTGTCATCCCTGCTCTGTGGCAGTTCTGTGCACCTGTGAGCGAACACTGCTCTTGGCCCAACTCCTGAAGTTCTCACTCTGATTTGTCTTTTTAAAATTTTCAAATGAGTTTACAGATTTATATTATAGAAAGTTCAGTATGCTATACAAATACAGTTAAACACAAGAATGAAAAATTACTACTTGTTTAACCGCCAGTTATTTTTTCTCAGTTTTTACATTTAATCCAGCCATAATTGCATGTGTGTTTTGCACATAAGCTGTGAGGTAGGTATCTAACTTATGTCCCCCCAAGTAGGTAACTCACTCACTCCAGCCTCAGTTAGACGTGATTAAGTACTGTGTTACTAGTTGTCAACACAGTGTCAAGGCCCACACATCTGACATGAGTGAGGCCGTCTGGGGGAACTCTTAGGGCTAGAGAGTGGGTTTTGCTGCCTATGAGACACACCTCCCTGGATGGGGGCGAGTGCCATCAGCTCCGGCTGATCGGTGCCCTGGAGGAATCTGTTTTTTCAAGAAAAGTTGACATCAAGATTTTTGGTAGGATTTTCCAGTTTTTAAAATATTGAGAGCTTATTTAAAAATTATAAAATGGTCGAGCACAGTGCAGTGGGCTTTAACTTAGAGGCATTCAGGCATGTGGGCCGGCCATTATCCGGGCAGTGGAACGCTCAGGGCTCACCCAGGCGGTCGCCGCAGGCAGCTCAGACGTGCCCCCGGTGCTGAGACCGAGGACACGGTGGGGCTTTCTGCAAAGACGTCCAAACGCAGATTCATTTCTTTGTGAACAGCTCAGCCAGGTTGAGTGGCTGGCTGTGCTCTGGTGGGGAACTTGCACCCACCTTGGTCTCTCTCGGCCCTGTGGCTCTGCCCCCAGTCCCCCCAGACTGACCTGCGCGGACGCTGACTAAGGCCATCCAGGCTCACACAAGGCCCACACGCGTCAGGAAGTCTTCTTTCTTCCTGAGAGGGAGTGGCTTCCCTTTCCTTCCGGATATGTGAACATTAACCCACTGTTCCGATTATCATCCTTTTCCTTTGGGACCAAGGGCAGGAGGAGTCAAGGACGGCCAGCATCAAAAAGATTAACAACAAATACTAGTGAGGATGCGGAGAAAGGGGAACCTGTGCTGGAAATCATTTCCAAAGCTACAGTTAAGGCCTGAGGAATCTTGGCTTCTTGTTCTCTTGGGCTGAAATGACTTCTTGCTTTCAAAATCTCAAGCAAAGCGAAAAATACCCTCTCTCCTAAAACTAAGGGCCAAGAGTCCCTGGACCACTGTCTTATGTGAGAGATTAATAAAAGCTTAATAGCAAAGGGCAGTTGGAGAAGGAGGCGTATGGGAAACCCCAAACGTTCGTTTGCTTTATTTTGTTAACTTCCTAGACCTATTCACACTTTAAGAGATTTTTCTTCTCTCAGCACAATGTTGTTCATGTGAAACCTTCCTAAGATTGTTTATCAATGATACCTTAATTTAAAAAAAAAGATTTTTCTTCTCTCCCTTGCAAGCTCAAATATAGGACTTCTTATTGAATTTGTTAACTCACAATACTTCTGAATTCCACAGCCTCTAAATTGCACAGGTGGGATAAAGCACTGAGGAATGATATGGATGTACAGAAAAAAATGTTTATTTAAAATTGTATTTTTATATCTACATTCCAGGTTTATTATTTTCTGCTGGACATTTTTATTTGCAAGTAAAATAATATGCAGATCCATTTCACAACTTGCTACCTACCAATTAAAGAATTAGAAGAATAGAAAATAGTTTATGATACTATCTTTCTGATAGTAATTCTCTTAACTCTGATCAAGGTTTTTGAATGGAAGAAATTCAGTGACACTAAATGGAACCCAGGGAATCTCCTTACAGTCTCTTTTATCCATTGTTCCTTATAAACTTCAGCAGAAAGAACTGAACAATGTCTATTAAACTGGAACAGGTAACTAACTTATTTCAACATAAACAGATGAATATGTTAAGATTAAGTGAGATATTTAAGATATCTCCACTAGGAAGATTTTATCTAGACATTCCTTAAAAAACAAGTAATTGCTACCAAAATAAAACAAAAAATAAGCAATTAAACCAAACTTCTCACCTCCTAATTTTCTCTTTAACTTAACAGGCAAAATTGGGTTTTGGAAGCTAATTATTTCCCGACAGCTCTAGAATGAGCTCCACTGAACAGATGCTTCTGTTTTAGGAGACAGTCCATAGTCGAGCTAAAAACAAGTGTCTGAGCAGATTGCTGAAGGAACGCCATTCAAGATGCATTTTCAGTTGTATCAGAAAAACGAGTGTTTGTTATTTGGTTTTGGGCTCCACTTTGTTGTGAAAACTGGTGGTGGGCTTTCATCCCTTACTTCCTCTATTTTCTAATTTTAGTAGCAACCGGAAACATTAGGGGTAGATTCGTCCCCTGGGATTCCAGGGGGATGAGGCAGAGCTTACCCTGGCTGATTTCTTGTCCAGTTGCCGTAATCAGGGAAGTCCGCCCTTTACCTCTAGAAGCCCAGGCACTGCCCCTGGCCTGGCGTCGGAGCCCCCCTGCCTCCTCCCAGGACAGTTTCCCTCCAAGAGGCATAACACTCGCAGTAGCCTCCCAGCTTCCTGCACCTGTTTGCCATGCGCGTGCAGAAGAAAATAAAAAACTCTAGACTCTTCCCAGCTATTCCCAGGCATCTCTCTGAGGAACCCAACATGCTTTTAAAAATCCTTATTTTAAAGAAAGAAATTAGAAAGAAAAAATAATTGAAATAATTATGTTTGCAGATACAGTGCTTGGATGGACATTCACCTGTTTGAGCCACACGTTTGTTGTCATCAGCTAGTTCTTTTCATCCTAAGAAAATAACAGTTAAAAAGATGTCAGTTCAGAGTAAGGGAAATTGTACTTTGGGTTTTTTGTTTGTTTGTTTGTTTGGTCAGGAAGACCTCTGTGAGTCTTACCTTTGAGGAGATCAAAAGTGTAAAGGGTTCACAACTTAAGAACAGGTACATGATGCCTATTTTGCTCAAAATGAAAAATAGTAATTAAAGCAATAGCAGTTCACTGTGGCAATATTTGTATAAAATTACATAACCTGGAAGGCATGTTAAGGGTGCAAAGCAGAATGAAATATTAGCTAAATTGTGGGTGGGTTTTGCACAGTCTCCCAGGAGTCCTGGGGGCATTTCAGTAGCTCAGGTGTGTGTGTGGGTGGGGGGTGTGTGTGCAGGGTGAGGTGGGGGATTTGGGCAACACGGAGGATTATTCTTGGGCTTTGGGGACCACCGCAGGATGATTTTGCAGACTTGAGTTTGTTAGAAATCACTCGGAAAGTAATCATGGTAGAAGCTCAAGCCCAACAGGAAAATCAGCAAATAACATTAAGGTGTGAGTAGTGTTGGGAAAAGGTATGGGGTCCTGAAGACAATGGGGTCGCCCAGGCGCATGGTGGGGTGCTGTCACCATCTTCCCTCTCCCTGCAGGTGCCCCTGCAGCCTGGCACAGTCTCAGTGACATAGATCAGCCCAGATGACAGCAAATCATCCGTGGGCTCAGTCCCCCTTTCCCTCCGGCCCCAGCCCTCACCCTAGGTGCCCGTGGGCTCAGGCCCCCCTTCCCTCAGGCCCCACCCCTCACCCTGGGTGCCCGTCATTTCACTGGCCTCTTGGGGCAGATTTTCTCTCACAGGAAGTTATTTTTAAGATGGAGGCGGCAGACAAAATAAAATCTTAGACTCCCAAACAGATTAAGGAATGCATGTTCTTTTCAGCTTAGTGCCAAGGATTACTCACCACATCTACAAGCTGAGATATTTTCAATCCAAAATATACTTTTATGGTGTCATTGGAATTTAGTACAGGATGAACCCACTTCTGATAACCTTGGAATAAATGTCTGAGGATGGCATCTTCATTTTCAGCTATTGAACTGAATCCTGCAGCGGCTGTAAGAACCGTGAGGGAATTTGAATTAGTGGCCAAGGCACAATGGCTGCGTCAGCGTCCTGTGGTCTGGGCCTTATATGTTTGCAAAGAGCCTAATTCAGCAAAGGCAGCTTTGAGTGTGTAGGGGTTCTTTGCAACCCTTCTCCTTGCCCACCACACAGCTAAAAGCAGCCTCTGTACTTTACCCAGAGCTGTACTTTCTCAAGGGGTTTTCCCACCATGAGGTCAACACCTTGATCCCCAAAGGATCATTCATCTACAGCCACTTTCTTACCCTCCACCTCATGTCTCACCTGAGATGCCACCTGTCTACAGACATGGTCTCTGCCATATGCTAGTCTTCCCCACTCCATCCTATCGCTTGGATGGTCATCCCTGCTTGTGGCTCCCCCAGAGCCCTGTGACGGCAAGCACAGCATTCATGCTGTGGGCTGAGGTTTATCCAGCACCTGTAACAGCATCCGGCCCACCGTGGGCCCCTTGGACCTCTGTTTCATGCATGAACCAGCCAAGGGGACAAGGGACATTTTCCACGGCCTCAGCACACACCCATGGGACACGTGCAATGTGCCCTGTGCTGCCCCCTTGCCACCCCCTTGCCATCTTGAGGAAGACTCCCTTTAGGAAGCCCTTCCTGGCCAAAAGCCAGCTTCTAACAAACACTCTACCCCTAAATGTGCAAAAGTCTGAGAAACACCCTAAGCTTTAACCCTCCTTTAAAGACACAGCTTAGGAAATGCAGCCTAGAAGTAAGTTTTGTTTCTCTTCGATGTGGTGCCATCCAGTCTGAAACAAAGGAGTTCTTTGCCAGCTGTTTTAAATACAGCCCCTGTTTGCATATTGAGCATCCTATTAGTGCCCTGCACCCATTCGTTCCACACTGCTTTACCATGGAAAACCTATATTTCCACCAAGAAACACCCATGAAGGGCAATGATCACATGAAAGTCCCACCTCTAAGTTCACCCAATCAAAATCCAGAGATTCTTAGGAAGAGGAGCAAAATGGCACAAATTCCTGCAAGTGCACGAGATCTTTACTAAGGGCTTAGCATGCCAAAATGCACATGCTAACGCTCCTCCGGCAAACAGCAGTGGGGATGAGGTGGGCTGCATGCTCTGGTTACCCCCATCCTTTTCTCTTCCGCTCTAGGAAGCATATGAGTGACAGAGAGAGGTGTAACCTTACATTTGCACTTATTTATTTAGAAAGCTAGCTGTCCTCAACTTGGTACTTCAGCCATTCTTAGCAGGCAGAGCTGCATGAAGGAGCAGTGGGCTGGGTGACTGTGGGGGCAGCGCCGTGAGGGCCCTAAAACCTTACTGGAGATGCAGGGGAGGGAGCAAAGGGGAATCTCCCAAAGCCTTCTGAGGGAAGAGGCGTTCGCTCGCTCAGGCTGAACTGTGAGAATGTCTTACGCAAGCCACACCGGCCTGAACGTCTTCAGAATCCACGGCAGCTCTGCCCGCTCCCGTCTTCTCCGCCGGGACCACCCACTTCACATCGCGCCACTTCACTCTTGGATTTGCGCTGCTTCCAAACGGCTTCCATTCTCGCCCCTTTCACGGACCCTTTTCTGCCTGTCAACTGCACCATCTCGTAAAAGCAGAAGAAAATCGTGTCCGTTGGCTTCCCATCAAACTCGGGAAAACCTCCTGAGCTCTCACCGGGGTCTCGCGGGCCCTCCGTGGCCCTGCCCTCTCCGCGCCCTGGCCCCTCCCCGCCAGGGCCTCAGGCCATCCGTCTCTCCGGAACTTGCAGCCAGCTCTTGCCCTGAAGAGCCTCCCGACCCCAACTGTGCACTTTGTCCCACCTTGGCTCACAAGTCTCGTCATCTCCCTGAAGAGGTCATTCTATGTTACAGCACCTAAAAACTCCCTTCCGCCCATCCCCTTCTGGCACTTTCTCTTGCATCAGAGCCCTTGATCATATTTTATGTCTCTGCCTGCCCCTCTAGTCAATGCTGTGCCCTTCTCACTGCTGTGTTACACTGCCAGGACAGCGCCCGGCGCATGGTGGCCGCTGAGGAAAGGTGCAGGTAGCCATGTGGCTTTTGTTTGCTGACGGTATGTGGAGCATGTGGCCAGAACTGAATCACTTGGGAGGAGAGAGAACAGGGAGGCTGCAGCTGCACCCGTCTCCGGCTTCCCCTGTGTGGGGCAGGCCCCACCCCAAATGCTATTTCCCTGCCCTACAGCCATTTGTCCCTTCTTCCTTCATAACACATTCTATATTTATCAGGGTTGCATGATGCCAGCTTATATGTACCCCCCTCGGGTCCCTTTACAGAGAGGGATGTCCATGTGACATACATGTGGCTGATTAAGACCCGGAAGCCACTAGGCAAGGTTTACAGGAAACATCATGGAGGAGGGTGGACCCAATTCATATGCACCTTTCTGCCCTTTAGCCTTTCTCCTTCCTGCCTGTAACTGGCAGACATCGAGACATTTGGCCACCTGAGGATTTCACGCCTGATGAAAGCTTACAGACATAAGATGGCAGAATAGAGAGACAGATGGATCCGGGGTCCCTGATAGCATTACAGGACCACCGCCCCAGCTCTGGACTGCCTACCTCCAGATTTCTTGGTATGTGAGAAAAACCATCCCCCCATTGACCACTCGAGTCCCTGCTACTTGCTTCAGAGTGCAGCTCTGACTGCTCAGAGCCCGGGAACCGCCCCACCCCTGGTCCTGGGCCCCCAGTCAGCCCAGTGAGAACAAACTGCTTAAATACCATCTCACAATGGAGACATTCCAGAAAACCTGAGAACACACACACACACACACACACAAACTGCTTAAATACCATCTCACAACGGAGACATTCCAGAAAACCTAACACACACACACACACACACACACACACACACACACACACACACACACACACACACGCTTCTTAGCGTGGACAACTTTGAGCCGACAGTTCTGGACAAGGGAAAGGGATCCTAGAAGAGCAGAGATTGCTTTTGAACTTACTTTCCTGGCAGGAAAATTGTGCTGTCAGTTTGTAGGGAGGTGGAGTTGCACATGGGGAGGGATCCTCTAAAAGTAGGACCATGACATTCCCCAGCACTTGCCATCACTCTCAAAGCCCTCCACGAGGACAGATGGGCCCCACTCCTCACCAGGGCCCGAAGCGAAGGGAGCGGCTCTGCTCTTTCAGGGATCTGTGTGTTTTGACCCCTGCTGCTGACTCATAGGGAGTGCTGCTGGCTGTGTGGAGGAAGGAAGAGTCCCCATCTGCACCGGCCGTTATGGGCGGAATGTTTGTCTCTTGAAATCCATATGCAGGAGCCCCAACCGCCAACGTGACTGTTGGAGATGGGGCCTATTATGAGGTAACAGGGCCAGACAAGGCCCTCAGAGTGGGGCCCTAACCAGTAGCACTGGTGTCCTTATAGGGAGAGGAGGAGGTATCAGAGATCTGTGCACACAAGCTCTGAGGAAAGGCCATGTGGACATGCAGCCAGGAAGCAGCTGTTCACAAGCCAGGAAGAGTTTTCCCCAGAAACTGAGCTTGTCAGCACCTTGATCATGGACTTCTAGCCTCCAGATCTGTGAGAAAATACGTTTCTATTAAGCCACCCAGTCTGTGGGGTTTTGTTACAGCAGCCCTTGCTGACTAGTGCAAATCTGTATTGACCAAAACAGAACTTTCCCCCAAAAAAGGAAGGAAGGGAGAGAGCGGGGGAGGGAGGGACCCCCCACCACTAAGCGTCTGCCTTCTATTCTTGGACTGTGTTTCCCTTCCTTCCTCAGACTCTCAGACCCTCTGCTGTCTCCTTACCCCCATATTCAGCCAATCTGAACAAACTCACTCACACCAAGGTACAAATAACTGATAAGACTTAATAGGTGAAACTTCCATGACTACTATAGTTTTATAAGGCAACACCATTGTTTGTCCTCAGCTAGGAGAGGAAGAAAATAGTGGAAGACTTTCAACCTCAGCAAGTCTGGTGGGAGAGGTGTATTTTTTGTTTTGACACCTTTGGTCTATTTTGGTTTTGCCTTGCATTATCTCTACCTTGTCCAAAACTAGCATATCCCAAATGTGGCAGCCTCGTCTGTCAACACATAGAGCCAGCTCCCAGGGTGAGATCAAATAATAAGCATGTAATGGACACTTGCTAGCAGGAGAGTTTATTGGAATAATGTTGTTTTGTTCCCTCTTGCATCCCACATGCTGGAACCATTCTTAGGATACAGTTAGATCCTCAATAAATATTTATTGAATGAATAAGCACACATCATCATCTGGTAAGAGTGACAGGAAGATGCATTTGCAACAACATGGATGGAGATAGAAGGTATTATGCTTAGTGAAATAAGCCAGGTAGAGAAAGGCAATTACCAAATGATCTTACTTATTTGTGGAATAAAAATAAAGCAAAACAGAAGGAACAAAGCAGCAGTAGACTCATACACACCAAGAAGGGATTAGTGGTTAACAAGGAGAAGGGGTTGGGAGGTGGGGGGGAGGTGGAGGGAGATAAAGGGGCACAGTAATTGGGAATCACAATATAAGTTGGTCACAGGGAGAGTACAGCATGGAGAATATAGCCGATGATTTTGTAACATCTTTCTACATTGATAGTGACCGCACTAGAGGGGGTGAGGATTTAATAATGTGGGTAACTGTTGAGCCACTGTGCTGTGTATTTGTAACCAACATAAGATTGTATATCAATAATACCTGAATTTAAAAAAAAAGATTGACAGGAATATGAATAAGATTCCCCATTTCTGGGAACAGATACAAACACACCAAGTGTGAATTAGCAGTACAAGAGATGGCACATGGCCACACACAATAATCTTTTTCACCAGAGCCAAAAATATGAAAGTGAAGGGTTGCCCTTTGTAATTTGAAAAAGTTGGTTTTGTATAACAAAAAGAAGTAAAGAACTTGAGGAAAGGTGGTACAGATCTAAAAATATATACACACTCTGATGGCTCTAGAAATATTCACAAATGTGAGAGTTACTAAATAGACTTGTTAGAGATCTGTGACAGATGTGCACAGCTCAGCCCACATTCCCAAACTCGTAGCCTGCACAGTGGACACTGCACACCCCACCCACTCCATTTCCAATTTTCTTATGTAACTATGTCTGGAGGAGGATGCTAACCACCTCTGCTGACCAGTGAAATGATTTCCCTGGGGAGAAAATAGAAAGAATCAATTCTTTCACAGTAAGCAGAGTGCTCTAGTAAATTAAGGCAGGAAAATATGGGACATGTACGTATTAATTGTACACTAAAATACACAGGAGGTGATTATAATTGAATGACTGACACGTTGCAATTCAGACTTTGCAGAGACCAAATCTAGTGATATTTGAAAGTGGATTTGGTGCTGTCTGTGCTTAGAAATTACTCTGTTTTTGAGTCCTCAGTATGAGGATAGGCTATGTTTTGAAGACATGATAATGTTCAGGTGAATGAGCCTAGATTTAAAGTCCTTTCAAATCTAGGGTTTATTTCACAATTTGGACAAATCTATCTCAGTGCCTCTGGTTCTCCATCTGAAAATTGCAATAATCAAATGTGTCAAAAAGAAATAAATACAAATTGCCAATGGAACAACACCTGGCCATCTGACTCCCACTCTGAAGAGTTTCCGGTGCTGTGGGAAGAGTCCTCTCTTCTTACATTGTATAAAAAAGTGAAATGATTCCAAAACAGAAAACTGGCAGGTGCAGATTACCACTTTCTCCTAAAATTTCCAGGGTTTTTTTTCCTTCTTTCCATTTCTCTTCCCTGCCCCACTCTCCTTCTCTCTCTCTCTCTCTTTTCCATCTTTCTTTATTCAAAATCCCTCTATTTTCAGGTGGACAACAGTTGCAGAGAAAATTCTCAAATGTTCAAAGACATTTGATATACATTTTTGTTTACTGGTGATATACACATATGCTAAATATTCCTACATACACAAATGTATTAAAGTATTTACATAAGCTTGTAGGATCTATTGGACAAAGTTAAGTATCTACACATAGATATGGTGATTACTGGTAGATATGATACAAAAATGTGGATAAATAAATTTCTGTGTCAAATACTTTCACAATTCTCTGAGTAACATTCAGTGCACTTGGTAACATTTCTCCTGATTTTATATCTTCCTGCCAAGTTTGCAATGACTCAAAAAGAAGACAACAAGAAATGACAAAAGCATAAACATTATGGCATTCACAGATATGATTTAGCAATAATCAGATTTCATAGAATTACTCATTGGAGCCACATTTTATCCTAAAGACACCTATACATTACGTTTTGTAATTCTAACATTATAAGCACCAGACTCTCTTGCTTAAATACTTCTACAATTATGGAGTTTGTTTAGCGTAACGTGAGCTTACCTGAGGAGGTGACACTAACAGCGAGGAGCCCCCGGACCAGGTAAGCCAGTGGCATGATGTCAGCTTTAGGAAGATAATTTCTTCCTTTCTAACCACTGCATGTTTCCATCAGAAAGGGAGCTTTTGCAAAGAAAATGCACTAGTTCAAAGCCCGAAGCAGAACCTCAGGGGAAAACGGACACCTGGAGTCGTGGGCAACTATCTGGCATCAGTATGATGTTACTTAAAGTACACTTCATTGATTTCCAGTCAGCTGTCAGATCATGTGAGGCTAAACTATCTCTGGTTCCTAACTCCTGACATTAATTTACTCTCTTGCAAAGAGATGCAGGGCAACAGAGAGAGGATGAAGCTAGTAGGAACCTTCTGACTTCTGTGCTGTTTTTCTTAGAGTTGGAGATGTGTGTACAAGAGAAAAGCTGAATTTCATAACATGCACCATGGAAGTCAGTGACAAGTTTCTCCTTCATATTTTTTCTGTATTGTCTCTATTTTGGACTTGCAGCTTAAGAATAATGAATATGAAGGTGATATAAGATATAAACTTGCAGTTTAAGATACAAACTTCCAGGGATATAATGGGCAGCGTGCATTGCACATTTGAGAGTTGCTAAGACAGCAGATCTTAAAAGTTCTCATCACAAGAAAAAATGTTAAATATTTTGCAATAATCATGTCTGGTGATGGATGGTAACTAGATTTCTTGTGATCATTTCCCAATGTATACAAATACTGAGTCGTTATGCTGTTCACCAGAAGCAAATATGTCATATGCCAATTATATCTCAGTTTTTAAAAAGAATAATGAATATGTCCTTCAGCTCCCTTTTCTAATGGTTCTCATGTGTTTTAATGTCAGGGCATCCTCTGTGATTCCCTTGAATCTGCTGGGTCCACAGGCATAAGTAAGGGCAGAGTTGGGTCTTGCTCTGTTTCCCCTAAGGGACTTGGAGGGCGACGGTGGCACCCTTTCTTTGATTTGCCTTCTTCACAGCTGATCAGATTCTCATCTAGTTCAGAGCTGTCCACACCTAGGTTGCCCCTAATAAACCCAGATTTAATGGGCCTAGTAGAGGAGAGGGTCAGGTGGCAGCAGTTATCTGGCTGGGGATGGAGGGCTGGAGCAAACTCCAGGCCTGAGGAACTTGACTTGGGAGGTAAGGATTTAATCCAATTTTTAAAACATCTTGTAATATCTCGTGAAGCCCCCACTGTGTGCCATTAGCCACTTCCAAATCCCCTGAGGTGCTCATAAAGGTAATAACGTATAATCAAACAGCCCAGACCTAGGAGGCAGGACTCTGTCCCTCCCCACGTCCCCTCCCTCAGGGGACCCCTCTCACCATATGGCTGTCTCCCTGCTGGACCACACACTCTAAGGAGCAGGCTGGGCTCTGTAATCCCTGCCTCCAGTGTCTGTCACACGAAACACTTAAAAATGCCGTTTGAGAGAAAGGAGGAAGAAGACAATCAGGCACAATCAGCTTCCTTATCCATCTGAATTGTGTTTGGGGCCTGCTGTGAATTTACAACCATCTCAGGAATAAATTAGCCACGAATCCAGGGGTGCAGAAACTATCACCTTTATTTTCAATAAATCAAACAAAATGGAGCTTGCCATTCCATGCTGGCAGGAAATTCAGTCTCAGCCATTGCAGGAGCCCCATCCCCTTGCCTAGGAAGTGGGAAGGCTTTTGCAGCCTCTGAATACCAGGCAGGCCCCGTAGCCTCCAGCCTGTCTTGATCACAGTGGATGGTCGGTGACCAGCCACGTGCCCCTTGGAACTGGCAGTTTTGCTATCCTCTGCCTGGTCATGTGTCCAGGACTCTGTCAGGACTAGATGTCTGGGGGGCAGGACCCCCCTCCCTAAGCCTCCACTCAGCCACTGCCCCCTGATGATGGCCACCCCAGGAGCCACCGCTGCTGGAGGCCCAGCCAGCCCCAGGGAGGTTCTCCCCTATCTCCCCTTAGAGCTCCCTTTCTCCGTGAAGAGGCACTCACCGCGTCTCCATACGGCTCCAGAAGCTCTTGGGTGAGCAGATTTTCAGTGAAAACACACACACAACAAACGAAGAGAGGTTGTCCTTTAAGCCCCTTCTGTCTTTGGGCCTTATAAACATAAGAAGCCTAGCTCCTTTCTTGGAAAATATGGGAAAAAGCCATACAGAGAACAAAAACACAAATCCTCACCCCAAAAAATCATCCTGTTCGGAGCCCGTGTGTTCTCGTTCCCTCACCTATTCTATGACCAACGGGCAACTCGCCAAGCAGCTGCCTGGAGTGTGGCATGTCTGCCAGAACAGAAATAACCAGAAGTGTGCATCCTAGGACCCTGAGCCAAACCTCTGCCCCGAGTGACGAGTGAGCACACTCGTTCTGACGGCCCTGGGAGGCGGGCGGGACAGCTTCCACGCAAGATGTGCTCAGGATGGTGAAGCAACAGCTGACGGGAGGGGAGGCAGATGCACTTCCAGCTGAGGAGTTTAAAAGTTATGGTCAGCATCCTTTAAATTGGGAAAGTGACTTGACATTATAAAGTAAATTAGTCATGAGGACGGAGGTGACAAGGAAGTAGAAAGTTCTCAAATCCCTCTCCCTCTTGGCAGGTGTGGCGGGAAGCCAAGGAAGCCAAGGAAACAGGGTTTCTACTGAGGCTTCAGAAGTGTAGAGGCTTCACAAGGTGCTCAGGTGCTTAGGATTAAAACAATGAAACAGTGTATCCTCACCCCACCCCACCCGGACTCAGTGGTAGAGAACAGCTTGTTAATCATAGTCATGGAAGCCCATTTGTTTATAATACGGTATCCGGTAACATTTACCGAAATGGATTAAAATATAACTAGCATCCTGAATACACCTATAGTGACCTAATAGCTCCTACTGCAACAGTTTCTGGGTGCTGACTCCCCCCTTAGCCATGAGGATGACCTGCGTGGCCTCACCCCCACTTCTGTACAGGGAGAGACAGGACCCCCAGGACAGCACCTGTCC